CCCCCCCCCCCCCCCCCCCCCCCCCCCCTCTCTCTCGTGTACGTCGAGGGTAGGTGCATATCCTGCGACTCCTGAGGCTGCTGGGGCAGCATGCGGAGGGGGTTACGGACACCATGTCAGACGCTCTCGCTCAGGTTTGTTACTACTAGTAGGCGTTGCCGTAGATGTTGTTGTGGTTGTCGCCGTTGCTTAGGTGGTTATCGTCGTCGTCGTTGTCGTTGCTGTTGCCGTCGTTGGATGTCGTTGTTCTGATCGTTGTCTTTGCTGCTGTTGCCGGCATGTAGTTGTTTTTATTCTTGTCGGAGCTGGCTGTCGTCCTGCCTGGCCTGTTCTCGTTCCCACAATATTTTTCATGTCGGGGGTCTCTGCCCAGCACCTGTCTGTGAACACCGCTGCTGCCGCCGCCCCGCTCCCCCCCTCACGCTTTGCGAACGGAAAGATGGTGATCGGTTTCTGGTTTCGTACTTGTGAAACTTAGCCTCCCATGTCGCTCCGTCCCGGCATTGTAGGGACGCGAGGCCTATGGTCTAACGACTACGGCATGCGTTTACATGAGCTTGCTGTCATCGTCGTTGCCATAAATTCTTCGTTCCGGGGGTCTGTCTCTCTACCGAGCACCTGTCTAAATCCGCGGCTGCCATATCTACCGTATAGAAGTACGACACAAGATAACACACCCCCTGGACCCATTTTCAAAGCTCGATTACGCCACGACCAAGAGGATGCATAAACGAAACGGTACGTTTTCGGGGAGCTCTCGACCAGAAGGCTTCAACGCCGCTGCTTTCGGTACCCCCACTCTTTCTGCTGTTGATGAAATCGAGCTTTGAAAGTCGAGCCAGGGGGTGTGTTATCTTGTGTCGTGTACGGTATACAACCCCCCGTGGGAACAATGCTCTCGAGGACGCTGAGGTCAAATGGTCTCAACCGCCTTCGCCATATCTATACAACTCCCCCGTCCACCCCTTGCAGGTGGCGAGCAACACGGAGACTGCCAAGAACGCCGGCAACGCCATCCTCTACGAGTGCGTGCAGACGATCATGACGCTCGACACCGAGAACGGCCTCAAGGTGCTGGCGGTAAACATCTTGGGACGGTGAGTGGGAGAGAAATGTTTCTTTATTGTTGTTGTTGTTGTTGTTGGTGGTGGTGGTGGTGGTGTTGTTGGTGTTCAGTGTAGTTTGGTTGGCGTTCCCGTTGTTTGAGCTGTAGAAGTGAAGTTGGTCTTTTTTACTTTCGTTGTTTTCTTACTATGCGTTCTGGTCAAAAACCCACGCTGTGCACGATGGGCGAGCTGGTTTGATCGCATGCGTCTTTCCCACTACGTTACCAGTCAAAACGCTCTCGATTGACCTTCTCCGACACTGCTCCTCTTGCGTCTTACGGACTGCACACGTTTTCTATTTCGTTTTTGCTTTTGCAGTCTTGACTTACTTTCTTCAGGTGTTTCGTTTTGAAGTTTTTTCCCGAACTTTTTTGTACCTTTTTTTGGGGGGGGGGGGGTTGGTGTGGTTTTCCCAGGTTCCTCCTGAACCGCGATAACAACATCCGGTACGTGGCGCTCAACACCCTGGGAAAGGTGGTGCAGCTGGACCCGGCCTCCGTGCAGCGGCACCGGTCCACCATCGTGGACTGCCTCAAAGACCCGGACATATCCATTCGACAGCGAGCATTGGAGCTGATCCATCAGGTGCGTGGTTGCCTGGGTTGTTGTGGTGGTTGTTGTCGATGTTGTTGGTGTTGGTGTTTGTGTTAGTGTTGGTGTTGGTGTCGATGATGTTGTTGTTGTTGTTGTTGATGATGTGATATGGTCCTATTTCTTTTTGTTGCAAAATTGCACTTGCACGCTCTGATACGTGACCTACGTATACCGAACAGTGGCGGCGGCGGACTATAAAGGAAGAAATAAAACACATCATACACACACACACAAGCTCAGTTTCCTTTTTTTTTTTTTTTTTTTTTCCTGTGTCTGGTGACCTTATTCATTTCCTCTGGACACATGCTTCCGCCTGGTAAAAGGGGCCTCCTACGGCTTACAACCTGTACGCCATGGAAGTTTTTCCTGGGTCGTGCCCCGTCGGATAGGGTAGGGGCCCTTAAGATGGAGAGCGCCGAATGGTGCAACAAAGATAACCAAAAATCGAGGGCAACATGGTTGTTTATCGTTCTAATATCTGTTCTGAACGCCGTCCAATCGATCGGCAGCTCGTCAACGAGAGCACCGTGGTTAGCCTCACTCGGGAGATGCTCAATTATCTGGTGGTGGCGATGCCGGAACACAAGGCGCAGCTGTGCGACAAGATCACCGCTGCGGCAGAAAGGTGCGTGTGCCTCGCTGTCGTCCCGTGATTGCCTTGGGACGTTCCGTGCGTCTTGTTGTTGTATCCGTGACTGCCATGGGATGCTCCGTGTAGCTCGTCTTTGTATGTACCCATGACTGCCTTGGACATTCCGTGTGCTGTCGATGTTCCGTGGTTGGCTTGCGACATTCCGTGTGTCTTGTCGTCGCTCCGTGACCGCCATGGGATATTCCGTGTCTCGTCGTTGTATGTATCCACGGCTGCCTTGGACATTCCGTGTCCTGTCGTCGCTCCGTGATTACATTGGGACATCCCCTGTGCATCGTCTTTGTTCTATGATGGGTTGGAAAATTCCGTGTCTTGTCGTTAGTGCATTGATTGCCTTGGGAACTCCGCACCCTTGTCGTTGTATCCGTGACCCTACCTTGGGACGTTCCGTGGTTTATTTGTAGACATACCACCGTGATGTAGTAGAGAAGCGCGCGGCTTGCGGGAAGTTTGACCAATACCATCGCTGGCTTCTTGTTGGTGCCCACGAGCCCACCACTGCTATTTAGTGTGATGTCGTTTCAATTTGCTGCTGCGACGGACAGCGCTTGCGCCCTCATGAGCAGTTGCAGTAAGCTCGTGTGTTTGTTCCGCTTTGCTATGTAGATAGATGATGAATTTTGCCCAGTGAAGCCAGAAGGTTCTGCGTAGGGTGTCGAGAGCTCGGGATCGCGCTTGTAACCGTTTTTTTTTTTGTTTTTTCCTTCTTGAAGGTACGCACCGGACCGTCGGTGGAGAATAGAGACGCTCATCACCATGCTGAGCATCGCCGGCAGCCACTGCAACGAGGTATGTACCCCGTCTGCAATAGAAGTGTCTACCGTACACACGTTTCTGCTGCTGTACGTTCATTATATCTGTAGAGGAGTTGATTTCATGTGTGGCGGCTGCCAGAATGCGGTGCGGTGGCTTGAGAATGGCGCTACCACGGTTGTTGGTAGGAGCATTTGGCTGAACTTCGGGTGTCCATGTACCGACAACAAGTATCCCAAGTTCTTCACCTGTAAAGCGGGTATTGTAGTATCTACGGTAGGGCCGTCCGGCAGAGTAGATTGAACCTCGGAACGACTTGGCCCAACTTCAGGGAGACGAATTGTATGTGATTATCTCGTATCCTGTAGGGGTAAAGACCGGCCGGGGAAAAGGCAATAACTTTACTTGAACCCTCACGCGTGACAAGAGGAGTAGCTAGATGCATGGGGGGGAGATATTGGTACGCTTCATGAAACGAAAAGACAGAGGCCAACAAAGTCGAGAAAACGCCGGCGGGAGGGCGAAGATGTGGAAGGTTACATAGGCAGCGAGACACAACAATACAATGGGTGTACTCTCATGTTTTGCATGCATGCCTTGGTTGTTTGGCCATTGTCCACGCGTCCTCGAGAGGACTCTACACTTCAATTGTCCACGCGTCCTTGAGAGGGCTAGACATTTCGTAGTACAGAGGGCTGCCTATTTTTTCTTTGCAGTTTTTTTGCGGGGGGGAGTAAGAACATGTGCAGATCCATTTGGGTAGATATGTGGTGTTGAGATCCGACTCTCTTTGTTTTGTCAGCGATTTTTCTCTTCGCTGCTCTTGACAGATACCCCCCGCATCTGACACCGATGCGTGTTTCATGCGCGTCGATTGGCACGCAGTATCTCCTCCCTTGACCAAAAATGTGCAATGCACCAAAACGAAATGTACTCAAAATTATGAACTGAGTTCAGCATTCACGCCCTGATGCTGTGCATATTTGTTTGTACCAGTAGCGCGTTTGCTTTTATTTTGAAAACCATCGAGAACCGTCTTGGCGAGTGAATAGGCTAGGCTTTTCAATGTTCTTTTCGATTTATTTTCCCGCAAATCCCTGCCCCCCTTGTTTCTCAGTGAGGGAATATGGTTCCTCAACCCTCTTATGCATGTTATATGTATTTCATTTCCCGCTGATCCCTGCCATCCAATCTTTTACAGTATTCCGGACTCTGGTTTGCTTCGTATCCCTGCTTACCCATGCTTTCGACCATAATCAAACGCTTCCTAACCCTCTTACTCTTTTCAGTTTCCTCTTACTTTTACCGAAATGCGTAAGAGGGTTAAAGAGAACCCATTCGCTCTATGAGTATGGTCGAAAGCAGGGATAAAGCCGGCATATGAAATGAACGAGGGCAGAATAGGCTATTCACTCTTGAAAAGACTACTGGTTGCAGGGATCAGTGAGAAATGAAAATGCGCAAGAGGCTTGAGGAACCTGTTTAACTCATCGAGTAACAAGGAAAGCAAGGGCGGAGAAAGAATGCACAAGTACGTTAAGAAGCCCATTCACTCGCCGAGACTGTTCTTCATGGTTTTCAAAAGAAAAACAAGGTTTTCAAAAGAAAAACAAATACGCTACTGGCACAACAACCGTAGTGTGCACGTGCATCTGTGGCTGAATTCAGTGCATTATTCCCTGCAACCTTTAGTCTGTCACAGAGTGAACAGGCTTTTGTGACCGCCCGTTCGTTTCATTTCCTGCTGATTCCTGGCTCTCTTTCTCGCCCTCTTCCCAGCGCATCGCGTCCGGCAAAAAATTATGTACTCTCATTTTCCTGCTCACCCCTGGCTCTCTTGTCCCTTCTTTTCTTCTCGCAGCGCATCACGTCCGGCACGATAATGTACATCGGGCAGTGCAAGGAGTTCCACGGACAGGCGGTGCACAAGCTCGCCGCCGCGCTGCAGGAGGATATGGTGGCGGCTCCCTCCGGCCTCATGAAGGTCGCGGTCTGGTGAGCCTTTCGAACGATTTAGTTTTGTTCTCGAGAGAGGTTCTCTTTTTTTATGTGCTTTGTCTATGGAGAGTAGTAGGATGCGCTGTTTGTACTATTTAGCAGTCGGCACGCGTCAACGGTGTACAGTGGTTTTGTGTGTTGGGAGAGAGTTTTGTAGGTTGCAGTATTGCTGGGGTTATTGTTGGTGCGGCAGCATTGGGCACACCCAACCGGGTTAGTTTTGTGTTCGAGAGGGTAAAAAATAGTGTGGGATGTCCCATTTTGGGATGGGATGAGGGTATTAAAAAAGGCGGGGAATAGGAAAACACCGGGAGGGTGCTGTGTGTCCAGTGGGATGTATTCATGTACAGCACCAATGGACATGCATGAAGGGGGGCAAAATTTTGGGAATATACCGGGAACTGCGGGAGTGACCCCCCCCCCCCCAGTGCTCCGTCTCGAAAGGGACGCGTGGTCAATGGTCAAATGACTACGGCAAGCAACAAATGAGTATTCCCCCCCCCTCCCCCCCAGACCGACTGACATGGCTCGATAACTCCCCAACAGCCAAGAGGGTGGGTAGGTCTAAGGGAACCTCTCCACGAAATGTTTTCCGTAAACACCCTTTATGGCAGGGGGTGGGTGCTGTCTCGTTTGCACAGAAACCGACCTAATTAAATTCGAACGCTTGCCCTTTTGTAGGGCGGTGCCGGTTTGTACGGCACAGCTTTGGCGTAGAAGTGCCGCTCTCACATTCTAGCGTATGCATGTATGACGTTTGCACGATACTTTCTACTATTGTAGTATGAAACAGTATTGCGGGGTGGGGGCTCAGCAACGCCGGTTTGTGCCCGGTGCATCGACCAGCGCTGTTCAGAGCGACCGGGCGCTATCCAATGTACAGAATGACTCACTTGGTGATTCAGTCTGTACCCAGCAATTTCACTGGCGCTTGACAGGGCCACCGGTGCTAATCAACCGGCGTTGTTGACGTCCCCCCACTGCAGTATTGTTTGTTTATTTATTGTTTCCTCAGATCGTCGCGAGTGCTTCAGCACGATATCTACACGTAGTGAGTGATGTGGAAACTTGCAGACCCCCCCCCCCCCACCTGTTTTTTTTTTTATGATGTCAGGTGCATCGGCGAGTTTGCAGACTTGCTAGCGAGCCCACAAGACGCTTTTCCTGCTGTTGAAGGGGGTTCCGCGATGTGCCCCGCTCAGGATGCGATGCCTCACGAAGAGGTATGGACAGTAATTTCAAGATGTAGTAGTCTTGTTCTTGTTCTTGTTCTTTTTCTTGTTCTTGTTCTTGTGGTTGTGGTATGTACGGAATCTCGGTGCTCTTCCTGTTGGATTTTCTGTAGCCGATGCAGAAACAGATGTCCGTGCGTGGGCAGATACAAAACCAGATTCCCGTTCTGCGTTTTTCTGAGTTGTACCGTGGTTGCGTTCCGCAAAGCGATGGATGTCCCAACAGACGCATGTGCACCTGACGACTATGTAGAATGACGACTATTTAGAATGACGACTATTTAGAATTATGCTGAAGAGTGGCAGTTCCGACATCCGGCGGGGTTGGGAAGGCGTCTGGTCGAGATCGTTCCGAAACCGTAGTCGTTTGATTCATACACATACAGCCTTGCGTGATTGATGTGTAGACGGAAGAGCAGTTCGTTTCGGGAGAAGGGTGCACATAAGCAAGCAAGAAGCTCTCTGCTTCGATCCAAGAGTTGCGAACAGAGCTACCTGAGTGGGGGGGGAAGGGCGTACTCATGTTCTGCATACCTTCGCGGTTAGACGATTGGCCACAGGTCCTCTAGAAGACGGAGCTTTGTTCCTACTCGTCGTGGAATACTGGAGTTCTGAAAACTGTGGATCATTGCACGACCATCATTCACATTGTGTCACCTGTGGCCGTTGTTGACCCCCCCCCCCGCCTCATTGTTTCTTTTCGTGTTTGCGTGCTACGCGTAACTACGCGTCTCGTTTTTCTTCTTTTTGTACGCGCGCGCCGCGTTTGGATGAAGATCATCGACCTCCTGGAGGACCTGTTGAATCACCACAGCGCGACCGCGTCATCGCGAAGCAGCGCTCTCACCGCCCTCGCCAAGGCCTCCTACAGACTCGGGGAAGGGCTCGGGGAGGATGGGAAGGCCAGGGTGGAGGAGATGCTCGAGGGGTACCGATCTTCCATCACCCTGGAGCTGCAACAGAGGTATGGTATGGTATGGCGGAGAGCCTCAAATCGAAGACGGGTGTTTTTGTCAATCTAGGTATACATCACCGGACAGAAAATGATATTTTAGGCATTTTTTTTTTTTCTTGTTTTCTATTCAAATCTTTTTTGGGTAAGTTAGCCTGTGACCACCGGAATCGACCCCGTCAAGTGTTATAGACTACAGAAGAAGGTACTGGGCAGAGAGAACGGAACGGTTTTTAACGTGAAGACAACAACAGTGAAGACAACAACAACAACAACAACATTCAAATCTGCTCTCTGCATTTCTTTCGCTTTCACTGTTTTTTTTGTAATGCTTGTATTCTCTTCTCTTTTTTTTGTTCGGTCCTGACTTTAGTTGTTATCTTTTCCTCAACATACATATTTTTTTCTTCGCCTGTTCTTTTTTGTTTTACTGTAGGTCCTGCGAGTACCTGAACCTGCTCTCGCCACAGTGGGACGTGGTGAAAAAGGAGGCCCTGGACCGGATGCCCGTCATGGACGAGGAGGCTTTCCGGGAGAGGTAAGGCCCGTGTCCGATCATGATCTTGATCAGTCCGATCGATCGAACCTACGCATGTCATTGCTCAGGCGTTATTTGTGAGCTCGGGTGAGGGTGAATCACTGGCCACGGACATTTGGAGGTAACTTCTGGAGAGGTACCGGCAGGCCCAATCGATATCAACACATGTCATGGCACAGGCGTTCTTTGGTGAGCTCGGGAGAGGTACAGCATGGCCAATCGATACCAACATGTGTCATATCATGTAGCTCAGGTGTTCTTATTTGAGCTCAGGGTGGGTGAATTACTTCCCGCGGGCAGGGCTCAGGCGTTCTTTCGTGAGTTAGGGAGAGGTACCAGCATGTCCAATCGATACCAACATATGTGATATCATATGTAGCTCCGGCGGTCTTATTTGAGCTTAAGGGAGGGTGAATTACTTCCCGCGGACAGGGGGGGGGGGGGGGTAACGCTTGGTTGGAATGCGTTATATGGACCCATGAACAGACCTTCCGGTGGGGATGTATGAAAGGTGTGATGAGTCGAGACAGACAGGAGAGAGCTTTTTTTTTTCTGGAGACCTAGCTAAGCTCCGTTATCCATTTTTTTAACAGTGGGAGGCATGGCGCGAGTCGGTGTCGAGAAAGACAGGGGGCGTGTGTTTGCTTTCGAGACCTGAGCGCCTGTCTTCCATTTTTAGCTATTTTTACCAGTGAGAGACAGGCAAGAACAACCTCGCTCGTCGCGCCCATCACACCACGCGGAGGCCCCGCCCGAGAGGCCCTCTTGCCCTGACCACCTCATGGCGCTGCTTCGCGCTTGGTCGAGTCTCAGATTGGTCGCCGAATCTAGACGAGTCTCAGGGTTGGTGTTGGTGCAAGCCCCTTCTCAAATGGCGACCTTTTTTTTTGTTCATGCGTGAGTGCCCCCCCCCCCCCCCCCCCCTATCAACGCGGGGAACCCCCCGGTCATTCTGGATTGGGGCCGTGGGGAGGTCCCCCTGAGGTGGGGGTCTGCTTCCCGGGGGGGCCATTGGTTATTTTCCCTGTGC